GTTCTAAAGATGGGAACTTGAGGGTGAAATTAAGTCTTGAACAGAAGCTTGTGAGTTTTATTAACTCTATGAGTTTCAAAACTTTTAATTTCATAAAAACAATCTCATCTTCTAAACCATCTCTCTCGTTTCCAACCATTTCAGTCAGCGAGTGGCATTCTCTTATGCTCATTGTTTCTAGTTGGACCAGGCTTTGAGCTGTTGAGAGTGAAACCAAGTTTCTTAATCCTTGGCAACTAAATACAACCAAAGTGGTGAGACTGTGGAAAGGTGCCATAGATGCTGATAAGCTAATCAAGCCAGGACAGCCAATCACTTTCAGAATTTTAAGATTTTGAACAATTAGGCCAGCTCCTCCAGAGTCTTGGTTACATATATGCCTCAGATTATGAAGTGATCGCAACTTCAACTCTCTAATATGTAATTGTACTGTTCCCACACATTTCTCCTGACCATCAGTGTCTCCTTCAGAAGGGAATAACTCCTTGAAATCAGAATAAATTACATGAAGCTTTTCCAACTTGTGGAAACATTGAAGGAAGTGAATTGGAAAAACAGGTGATTGACCTTTACATGTAAGAAGACGAAGAACTTTAACATTGCAAAAGAGGTCCCCTGGAAATTGGCCATCAGATATCATTGTAATGTCATCACTAGCTAATGACAGTTTCTCTAATTTAGGAATGACCTAGAAGCAAATCCAACAAAAACATAAGAAATTGTAGAGTACTCTTCCAGAAGCCAAAAAGTTATTCAAATATATTAAATGTAGTCACCGACATGTAACAGTAAAATCATTTCTCACCCTTAATTTTTAGTTTAGTTTTCAAACCATAAAAACTTGTTTTAAACAAATTGCTAGTTTTTTATTTTTTATTTTTTATTTTAATTTATAGCAATTGAAAATTTTGTAAACATCAAAAATAAAAAACCATCACCATACCAAATAGAGACATGGTTGTTGGTTTTCAATTTTAATTATAGAAATTTAAACAATTAAAATTGATATCTATAAGTCAAAATTAAAAACTGAAATTGACAACTTATTGACTACAATTCAAAATTAAAAACCAAAAA